AGGGAAGAGGGAACCCCCGAAGACCTCGACGGACAACCTCATCGTAACAACCCCAGAAGCCCTATCTGACCCGAACACGGACGTCCAACTATAAATCGGTACACCATGCTCAAGGTAAGGGACTTTTGGAATTGCATTCTTTGAGTACCTCTTTGTAGTATTTCTTCATCTCGAGCCAACACTACCTCAACTTGCTTGTCCTAGTCACATCTCTTTTTATCCTACTGACTTGAGTGTTAGAATGCCTACCCGGGGAACAACTCTTCGGGCATTTGACCCTTCTCCTGGTTGCAGATCTCGATGCGTGGCTTCATCCTTCCACCTCGGCCTTGTCCAAATGGCAAGATTATTTGATTGTATCCTTCATTCAAAACACCTTGGATTGGACAACATTAATTGAAATGCCAAATTTTGAGATTTAAGTCCTTTTCATAGGTCTAAACATTAATATTCATCTAAATATCTATGTTTGAATTATCAAAGTGAAAAATAAAAAAGAGCATCCATATTTGAAAAGTGAAAAAATGAAAAAAAAAAAGAGTATCAATAGTTGAAAACTCTGGATGCATTGATACTTTGAACCACCTTTCTCAATTTGATAAAGAATATTGGCAAATTACGGCTCACTAATTTCAGCATTTTTATATGCAAGGTAAAAATTATCAATACATGGCAATGGTAATGGTAAAAGGGATGTATTGGTATTTTAACCTCACACTTGATTGTTTTTTAGTTTTTTTTTTTTTCAAAACCTATCGAGAGGGTTGGTCTAAGGCCTGCCTATCCTCTGAAATGGGTTTTATCCCAAAGGATTTAAATTTTGCATATCAATAAATCGCCAATATGACCTCATACGGGGCGTATCATGTCAAAATTCTGAACCTTATTGATATATACACAAGGACAATGTTATGATGCTTCAAAACTTAAGAGTACTATATTCATATTAGACTAGAAAACTTTTGCTTTCAAACTTAAATTTTTTCCTTTGTATAGTTGCATATATACACACATAAATACAATTTATAAAATATTTGTACACATAAATATGAAATATGAAGAAATGTTATGTTAGGTTTTGGGCTGCCCAAGGTTTCAACCCTAACGTAACCTAGACTAATTAAGTTGGGTTCACAATTTTTCGACCTTAATCCTAATCCAAACTTCAACTAAACCCAACATAATCAAACTTTTTTCGGGTTGAGTTTGAACGACCCGGCCCAAGTTGCACCCTACCTTGACCCACTAACTTGATCGACTCATGCCTCATGGTTCAATGGGCTGTAAGTATGATAGATGTAACAATCAACCTAGGACCCAATCATCTGCCTTGGGGGTTAAAAACCCTAAAATTAAATGTTCGATGGCTGATGACATCGGCACACACAAACCCTACATCCAACGCAAGTGTTCCTAAAAGTTGAATCAAACATTATGTAAGGTATCCATCTACCTTGAACACCGTGGATCTAGTACCATTACGTGGGTCCCATAAACATGATGTGTTAATTCCAAGTAGCTATTTCCAATACGGTTTGACCCAGCCACTCCACTTATTGGTGGCATTGCTCAATACAATATATATATAAAGAAGATTGATAGCTCATAGATAAGAAGATGCCTTTTGTCTTTTAAAATAGTAAAGTTAGCGTGGCATCATTTCTTGTACGTAATGACAACTCCCTCCCTCCCCACCTTGCTTACAAATGTGTCGCTATATGGGTGGACCATGTTACATATTACCTTGACATGTTGATGGTCCGGGTAGTCCGATAGGTTGGTTTGGTCCGATTCGATTTAAGTCGGGTTTGGATAAATTTCAGGTTTATAGGCTTCGGCTTGGGCCTAAAATATCGGGTTTGACTTTTTTTAGGTCAAGCTCGGGCTTTCTCAAAAAGTCTGGCCCAAGCTTGAATTCGACTTGATAATGTATCATATAATAAAAATATATTTTATATAATAAAAAATAAATATATAATATATGTTTTCTTTATTATTCTTCTCTTTTTTCAAGTAATAGTGTGATCTTTCATTATTTTTTTAGGTTTCCAAGTATTTTAATATAAATAAAATAGTTTTTAGTTGAATAAAAAAAGAAAAAAATATTTTTTCCTAATTTTTAGTCGAACTTGGGCTCGGGCCCAGACTTCAGGCTTTATATGAGGGTTGAGCTCGGGCTCAAGATCTAGGCCCAACGATCGGGCCGGGCTCGGGCTCGAGCCTGAGCATACCTGGCCCATGAATAGGTCTACTACTACTACTCTCATCCGAACTAGGATCTGCTCCTCATAGAGCGTGCCCCACATTGACATCACAACAACATTTTACCCTATATTTGAAACATCTTCCCATGAATAATAAATACAAGTACGAGAGATTTTCTTGTTGTGCGGCTAAGACATGCCATGAGGTTGGTGTGAGGCGTGCTATGTGAGGAGTAGATCCGGACTCCTCTCATCAATCATTCACTTGTGTCAGCCCGGTTCATTTCACAATCCTGAACCAGAGGTAATTCTAAATTCTCCCAAACAGGGTCCCCATAGGATTCAAACATGATAATAAATAGCATCGTTTACTTAAACACCCCTTATGGTTTTATGTATTTACTAAAATCTAACCTCTAATTTGTGTGTTATTAAAATATCTCTATGGTGTGCAACAACTTTATTTAACCTCTCTTTCATGAGGGAACCATTTGTAATTTCACATGATAATGTTGCATGACTTCTTAAATGAGTGGAAAATGTTAGGGAGGGTTTTGTTTCTTAAAGGTTGATATGAAACTATTAAGGAAATTTTTAAAAGGGTGTGACTATGACATGGAAAAGATATGATATCTGAAAATTTTTTGACCAATCAATTGGAATCATAAACGTGGTAGCTAATTAGGTGTTATTTATCAAAATTCATGGGTGTGTTTTGATTGGTCAAAACTCTTCCCATATCATATCTTTTCCCTTTTTAAAATAAAGAAAACCCCTAAAACTATTTTCTTTAAAATTTTCCACTCATTTAAAGAAATCACCTAGTCATTCATGACAAGATCTATTCTTCTCACCATCACCAACCTCACAATACTTGTAACTGCACATTGGGAACATCTCCCATACTTATACGTTGCCATCCATGATGAGATGTTCTCATTGCATCGCTGCACTGTGCTATGACATTGGTGTGAGGAATGTGCTCCATGAGGAGTAGATCGGATTTCAAAACTTAACAGAAGGTTGATAAAGTGAAGGGTTGTAAACTATTGGGGAATTCTAATAAAACTATAGTAAATATGTGAAACCATAGGGGTTTTTAAGAAAAATTCCTTAAGAAATAAGGTAAATTAAATGACCCCCTTTACTATTGGGTCAGTGATAAAGACCCCCTGTATTTTAATTTGCAACAAAGACCCCCTAAACTTTAGCCATTAGATAAAGACCCCCTAAATGTTAAGTTAGATGACAAAATGCATTAAATTATCAAAATACCCACCTGAGCTTTCTTTATTTTCTTTTCATTGTCCTTTTCTCTTAAACCCTAACATAATCTAATCTTCATATTCCCTTCCCCAATAAAAATTACCTTGAAAGAAGCGTTGCAAAGCCTATCATGAACAAGATGGTTTAACAATACAACAAAATAATCCAAACTATGTTTGTAAAGTGTCTTAGAAATAGACTTGTTCATGGGTCAGATAGCTCGACGGGTCAGCTTAGCTTAATCCATTCTAAGTCGGGATTGGACATTATTTTAGGCTCATAGGCTCGAGCTCAGGCCTAAAACATCAAGCCCAACCTTTTTTTGGGCTGAGCTTGGATTTTCTCATAAAAACATGACCTGAGCCCGAGCTCGACTTGGTAATATATATTATATAATAAAAACATATTTTATTTAATAAAAAAATATATATACAATATTTTTTCTTTGTTTCAAGTAATAGCGAGATCTTTTATTATTTTTTACTTTTGAGGGCTTTTAATATAAATAAAATGCTTTTTTTATTAAATAAAAAAGAAAAAATATGTTTTCAAATTTCTATCCTTGAGCTTTATATGAGGGTCAGACTCGAGCTTAAGACCTAGTTCCGATGGTCGGGCTGGGCTCAGGCTTAGGCCTGATTGTATTCTGTTGATACCTCGACCAATGATCAAGTCGTTTTCCACTGTAACCTAGATATTGGACTTGGAGACGTTGAGGACGTTCAAGAGATGGCATGGGCATGGAGAAGGGGTTTGAAGCTCCGAAAGTCTGAAATGGAGTCGTCGTGGAATCTGAAGGTAATACCTTGACTTGGAAAATGAACATCCAAATAAATAAATCTTCAAAAAACCTGTGACCGGAAAGAGGGGTCTTGTGGGATGGCGTTGAAGGGGCTTTTGTACTTGTATCTTTGAAGAATCATTAATGGAGTTGCAAAGCTTTTATACTTGATTAGAATTATCTTTGTTTTTCCTCCACCAATAATCCCATTATCGAGTTCATCATAATGCAAGTCCTAGTACAGAAGCATTGGAGAAAATATATTTGAAACGTGCAAAATTATCTTTGAAGGGATTTTATAGGCTGTAAGCGCAAAAGATAATATTCTGTTTATTGGTGGAGATTTCATTCCGTAAAATTATACAAAATAGAAAGGTAAAACTGGTCTTTTGAAAGAAATAATGTATCAACCAAACGTTAGGGTTTAATTTTTCAAAAATTTAGGGAAGGTTTTGTTTTTAAAGTAAAACTTGAGGGGGAGGTTTTTATGATTGTCAGAAATCTCAGGGAATCTTTTATCCTATTATTTACCCTAAAATAATAATTATAAGGCACGTTCTGCACTTGCCACGTGGAAACATTTCACAGGTGGTCTGCCAACTCTACAATGGGGTTGAGCTTGCTGTAGCCTCGACTCAAGACCTCTCTGTGTCCCATGTATGAATGATGTACCATGTGTTCCTGGGAACTCTTCTCATGTCTCATGTGGTG